TTAATCTAAAAGAGTTGAAGTTATTACATATAGAATTGAAAAAGGCCAAATTTGACACACAGTGCATTTCCACAAAAATTAGAGAGCACTACAAATATTAGTAATTCTCAAATCAGTGAATGGAATGCCTTTTCTGTTAACAGATGTCTTTTGAGAAATTACAGTGATGCATTGTTAATTTGTGTTTGCATAAGGTAAATATTTTATAAAATTTTAGGCTTTGAGAATACGGAAGCTATGGTAACACCTGCCATTTTACAGTGTGGCAAGACATGATTGTTTCCATCTAAAAGATTAAAGAAATTTAACAATATATATTTTAAATCTTTTTGAATTGTGTGGCATAAATTTTACTTTTCCTTGGTATAATAAATAAAGTTCAGTGCACATGCTCTAGAATCAGAGTTACTATAAATGCATAGTTTTCTAGTTAAATCATGTTTCTTGTTAGCAGAATTTTACTACGCTTTGATTTGTTTTCTTAAACAACCTGAGCACATGAACTTCAATTTGTGCAAGGTTTTCAAAGGCTGATATATAGCCATTTTCAAAAAGATTATAAACGGGGGTATAGGGAAGGAGAGAAGAGGGAAGAGCATCTAAGAGGACCCATCCTTCTTTGCCTTACTCTAAAGAATTGTCCAAGAAATTAAAATTTGAGCCCAGCCACCATGGCTCAGTGGTTGAACATTGACCTATGAACCAGGAAGTCACAGTTCGATTCTTGCTCAGGGCATAAGCCAGGTTGTGGGCTTGATCCCCAGTGTGGGATGTGCAGGAGGCAGCCAATCAATGATTCTCTCTCGTCATTGATATTTCTATCTCTCTCTCCCTCTCCCTTCCTCTCTGAAATCAATAAAAATATATGTTTTAAAAATTCGAAGCATTGAAAACATTTGACAAATAAAATACAATCATTAGGAACCACCAGCTGGGTCCATCTCAAACACATAGTAGGCTCTATATTTAATGAAGCCAATAAAATGACAGCATGAGCAGTTCCCAAGTACCTATTTGTCTAATGCTAAAGAACCCTATAACTGATCATTAATGGGTAGATGAGCTTCTCTAACCATGAGATGGACTCATGGTTCTTAATGGTTTGTTTATGAAATAGCTGAGGTTTTTATTCAGCAGCAGCCATTTCAACATTTTTTAATAGCTGCTAAGTGAAATGTTGTGCTTAAGGCTATTTCAGTTAAGTAGTCTTTTAAAGTGCTGAGACTCTAATAGAGAAAGTTAAGGAAGAAATCTCTAGTAGGCAAGAACAGGACTGCTACTACCTTTTAGCTAAAATTGTGAAAGTATATTGGGCCTAGTTTGCCTATAAATATACCATTTTGAAGTAGATGTATGTAGGCCATAAAACAGTGTTTTAAGAAGCAAAATGTTGTTTTTCTTACTATTTCTAATATACTTTTTATATTTTAGAAAAATGAATTCCTTTCTATATTAGAATAGAAACATAGTAATTTGAATATAGCAAGTATTTCTTGAGAACTTGACCACTGAGCTAAGCACTGTGGAGAATACAGAAAAACAAAGTACAAGCCTTGCTTTAAAAAGCTAACAGGAGCCCTAGCCGCTTTTGCTCAGTGGATAGAGAATCAGCCCACGGACTGAAGGGTCCCAGGTTAGGGGACCTAGATATAGAGCCTAGATTCCCATCAAGGGCACATACCTCAGTTGCATGCTCGATCCCATCCCTGGCCCCAGTCAGGGCATGTACAGGAGGCAACCAGTTGATGTTTCTCTCTCACATCGATGTTTCTCTCTCCCCCTTCCTTCTACTCTCTCTAAAAATTAATGGAAAAAATATCCTCGGGTGAGGATTAACAAAAGAAGCTAACAGAAAAATTGCCTTTAAGATATTTTTAAGAAATAAAAAGAAATTAATTAACTGTTGAATTGTATAGTACACATAAGTGACTTTGAGTGTTCAGGAAAAGGGGGAATCCATTAAAACTTGAGCATTCAAGGCATTGGCACTTGACTTGAGCCTTGAAGTCTGAATAGGATTTAAACTAGAGAGAAGAAGCAAAAAGAACCACATGAGCAAAGACAAGAGCCAACATAGCAGTGGCACTGGAAATGGAGGAATCATTATGGAATGGTTTCACTTGGAACCACCTGAATAAAAGTAATGCAAAAACCAAACTAGAAGGAAGGTGCAAAACCTATACCAAAGTCTAGGTTAAAGAGAGTCAATGTGCCATTGATAGAGATGAGGAATTTAAAAAGGGCAACTAGTTTCCAATAAAAGATAACATTTAATTTTAGACATGTTTGACTTGTGGTATTATTATTTTGCAGCAAGATATCCAAATGGAAATTTTCAGTGTTCAATTAGAGATGAGGGACTAGAGCAGGTTGGAAAATATAAAACTAGCGATATAGATTTGATTGTTATCAGCATAGAAGTAATTATCAAAGCTATTAAATATAGATAAATTGGTATACTTTCCTTAGAAAGAAAAGCAGATAATTAAAAGCTAAATTTGGGGGGAAAGCAAGAGTGTTAGAGGAAAGTGAAAGAATGGAAGAGTGTTAGGAAGGGTGTGATCAACAGTGTCACAAGCTGCAAAGTCAAAGGGGAACGTTCTGAGAAGAGGACACTGAATTTGGCAATAAAGAAGAAAAGATGAACTGGAAACTGGAAAGGAAAGTTCATTTGTCTTGTGATAAATGCAAAGAGATAATAACAAAACTAAGAATTTTTTAAATAATAGAAATAATCTACACATTTTGGGGGTTATATATGTCTATATCCTCTACATACTTGATATCTAGTAAAAGAATGGCAGCTGGAAAAAGTTAAAATAACAGCAATCTAATGGAGGTAGGAACATGTTATTGACATTGCATCTAAAAGGCATTTAGCTCAACAATAAAGATTTTTTAAACAATAAAAGACATTTAGACAAGATATGGAAATAGAGCTCTACTTTAAAAAGTATCATGTCTACTTTCTAAAATGAAACCTGTATATATTCCACAATATGAATTTACTCTTTGTGGAATAAAAAGTTAAATTATATCTTTTTGACTAGTGATAAAGTCACTATTTAGCTACATCTGATTTAAATGAAATGTTTTTTGCTTTACTAAATATTTGTCATGTTATTGATTTCTGAGTTAGTAGATAATTGAAAATATATATTTAATAGTAGAATGTCAGTTTCTCAAACAGCATCTGAAAGTTGCTATAAAAACAGAGTGTACTATCTTGTTTTTAAGTTTGGCTATGCGCCTATGTCTATGTATAGATTTAAAGGGAATGTTATTATGAGAATGTTATGTTCTCATTATATGTTGTACTGACACCTGGAAAAGTAATTAAGTATTTTTTAAATAAAGTTAAATTCTGTTTTCACTTGCTAACTAATTTTCTCCACTGTTTTAAAATACAGAATTTATTGTTGTAAAATACATTTTAAACATACAGGTATAGTATATTTATGCACAGATATGTGCCTTGCTACTAGATATGTGCTAGTAGAGTCCTTGTGTTTAATTGGCTTGTGTCCTTGAAAATAAGCTATTACCATAATAATATGAGGAGAATATAATATTCTCACATAGAGTTTTAATAGGACATTGGATTCTTAACGTCTTTTAAGTGACCCTACGACCAAAGTGCCATAAATCAGTTAAATCAAAAAGTATAGTAGGTTATTATTCAAAAAACTTTTATTAAACATCTATAAAATAACATTATGCTACTAAAAATAATGGATGATAGCAATATAAATAAACAGTAGTTTCTGTTTTCCAGGAGCAAAAAGAACGTAAAGATTGGCATTTGAATTTTGGTTCACCCCTTAGTATTTATATAACTTTGGGCAAGTCATTTAATTCATTACTTTTTGGAAAAAAAAAAAAAGGTTTCTGAGTGTCAGCTTCCTTATCTGTAAAGCCAGGATAACAATACCTCTCCTGTAGCGTTGTAAAGTCTAGAAATAGTAGTCTATTTACCTAGCATAGTATCTAGCTCATGGTAAGTTCATAGTTACCAGTAACTTTCTATTATTGCCTACTTCTTAAAGGGTTCTCTATAAATATTAGTATCTCTTCCTTTTTGATTACACCCATCAAATCACTAACAAAAATTGTGGCCACTATGATATATCACTAACATGCAGGAAGTGACCTTTGTTATGTCTTCTGAAATCAACAAGTAGGTGAACCAAGGCTTATAAAATTCATTTTGACTTCCTAGTACAGATTTCAGTGAGCATACTTAAAGAGAGTCAAGAGCTTTCAAGGCTGGGATCTGTTTTCTTAAAATGGGTTGAACATATACATAAAAGCCATTCATAAGGATCAACCTTTGAGTTTCTGAATAGTAACTGATTATAAGTTGTCAAAGTCTATGGTTCCAAAGGTTTTCTTAGTTTTTATTAGGAACGTTTTCATATATACACAAAAGTAGAAAGAATAGTAAAATCCACTCTCCCATACATCCATCAGCCAATCCCAACAACTATCTACTAAAATGTTTTTTTGTGTGTTTTTTAAAATATAATTTTTATTGATTTCAGAGATGACGGGAGAGGGAGAGAGAGACAGAAGCATCAATGATGAGAGAGAATCATCAATTGGCTGCCTCCTGCATCCTTCCTCCTGGGGATTGAGCATGCAACCCAGGCATGTGCCCTGACCAGGAATCAAACTGTGACATCCCAGTTCATAGGTCGATGCTCAACCACTGAGCCACACCAGCTGGGCTAAAGTGGGTTTTAACAGAACCATTTCAGTAAAAAATTATATTTCCAGCTCTTTATCAGTGTTTCTCTAAATCATTATTTTTAATCCCATATCATGGATCTAGTTAGTTTCTTTTATTAATAGTCAAATATTTATTTTATATAAATATAAAATTATTTTTAAGACATGTTTTAAAATCACAACATCAAAAGAAAAATGCATGGCTTTTTTTTTAATGGGAGAGAGTTAAATATGCTGGGTAGAATATATTTTGTTCTGTCTTTGTTTTTAAGGTTTGGCTTGAGCAACAAGTTTGATACTGAATTTCCCTCCGTTCTAACAGGAAAGGTAAGTGAGAGTTGGCTTTGAACTTTTCAATTCTAAAAACATTGTTTTATGATGTATTTAGTGTTATGAAAAATGTTTGACTCACTGGCAATGAAATCTCATAGTAAGAGGCCAGGGTACTTGGAGGCTGTGCTATTAGTGACTGAAGGCTATGCCTATGGCCAGTTATTTTGTTCATTGTCCATTAATGCCAGCCATCATTTACTTATTTGTTCAGTTTTTACAGTTTTGCTGTTTTTCTCAGCCCTGGTACCTATAACTGTTTTCATTTAGGTCAGTAATTTCCCATGTGTTTGTGTGTGTGTGTGTGTGTGTGTGTGTGTGTGTGCAGTATAAAAACAAATAGACTGTGTGTGTGTGTGTGTGTGTGTGTGTGTGTGTTTTGTTGTTGTAAGCGGCAGGAATGATACTGGGTGTTAGACTGATGGGGTCAGAACTGACCTGGGTTCAACAACCTCGGTACTTGAGTTCTGGCTAGGAAAGAATTCAGAGCCAAGATTCAAATGAACACTCAGTGAACATTTATTTGGTAAATGGTGGAGGTAGAAAGAGTAATTCCTAGAATAAATGGGCTTAAGAAACAAGTTATAGAGGTAAAGCAAGGGCACTTGGATCTTGGGAATAAGGAAGGAAATGGTGACGTGTGTGGTGGGAGAAGGAAGGGGAGAGAAAGGGAGGGAGAAGGTAAAGGGAAAGGCACTGGTGTGCTTTCAGGAGGGAGGGAAGAAAAAAGGGAGAGTGTGCTGGGTCCTCCATCCTAAGGGTTTTAAGGGTGAAGATTTGGGGGGAGGTCCTAGGGCAGTGATGGCGAACCTATGACACGCGTGTCAGAGGTGACACACGAACTCATTTTTTTGGTTGATTTTTCTTTGTTAAATGGCAATTAAATATATAAAATAAATATCAAAAATATAAATCTTTGTTTTACTATGGTTGCAAATATCAAAAATTTTCTATATGTGACACGGCACCAGAGTTAAGTTAGGGTTTTTCAAAATGCTGACACGCCGAGCTCAAAAGGTTCGCCATCACTGTCCTAGGGGAAGATCTTAATAGAATATTCAGCATCTTTCCAGGTGTGTCCTTTCAGGGTCTAAGTCTCCACTGATTGATTGGTCGATGCCAGGGCAGGGGGTCATTATCCAATGCAGCTAGTCCTGAGGTCATCCATGGGGTCACTGGTCTGGTTTTGTTACTTTTCTGGGCCTGGAGCTGAAATACAACTGAGATCTAAATGTTATCTCTAGGGAGGAAAGGTCAGGGGGTCCAAACCACTTGACCAGTGATATGCTAGGGGAGGAAAAGTCACCCTGGGGGTGAGGTCCCACCCTACAACACCCTACAATGTCCTTTGCTAGGCACCTGGGCTTTCCACCCTGATGACTTGTACCTAGCCCATCGTCCTTGCTCTGCTCATGTCTGTCTAACTGCCTACCACACTTTCAGGCATTTCTTTTTATTTACTGGTGTGTTTTTTCCAATGCAAATCAATTCCATAAAATGAGAAGTTACTATGAATCAAAGCATAAATACACAAACAATATATAATCAAAAATAGATGTACAGCATCTACTCTAATAACAGAGAAACATGCAAATTGGTGTCACTCCGCTACACCTACCAGCCAATCAAGGCGACTATACAAATTAACCCAACAAAGCTGGTGGTGGCCACGGAGCTGGAGGCTTGGGTTGCCCCTAGCAATGGAAGAAGCCAAGCTTCCTGCCCGCCCTGGCCACCACTCAAGGAGTGGCTGGGGGCCTGGGTCGCCGGGGGTGACCCAGGCTTCCAGCCCGCCCTGGCCGCCGCTCAAGGGAGAGAACAACACACAGGCACGGTCAGGAACCTGAGAGATCAACACAGAGGGGCACCTGCTCTGAGCCTCCGATGCAGCTGGGGCAGGCCCCCAGCGGGGACACACACACACACACACACACACACACACACACACACA